ACGTGTTTAATAAACACCTATATTAAGAAGATCTCAGAAAGTAATGTAAACAGTTTTATTTTCAAACAGGGTCTATCCAGGGTCTATCACGTGACAAAAGTGTTTTTTCTTTGTTATTTGCCACGTCACCAAAGTGGTCTTGAATTTATGTTCACTTAGTTCTTTTAGATCTAGCGGCGAGTATAAAGCCGACTTTTGTAAATGAAAAAACTTAGATATAGATAGTTTTTTGAATCAATACTAAGCCAATTAATGGGAAAACAAGCTAATTCAATTATTAAATATCGGGTTATATTTTATTACTGCTGTGGTTGCCATAATTAACACAAAAATTGTGACAAATGCAGCACTGTTTTACACATCAAACCGATAGTTACAAATAACATTTTAATAACACAAATAACAATGAAATAACAATCTATTAAATAATTATATTTTTATTATAATATGTAATAAATAAACCTATTCAACTTAAAAATAAACCAAAAAACCAATAACTAATAATTAAAACTGCTATAAAACAACTAATAATAATAGAGAAATGTATATTATCATATTTATTTCTAACGTTATTAACTAAATATATATATTTTAAAACTATATTAAATAATAATAATACAAACTCAAAAACTCTAATATATCTGTTAATTATAAAAAATACTATATAACATATAATATCAATACTATATTTTTAAACTATACAAATCTAAACAATGTATTAATAATTAATTAAATTGTTTAGTACATGATTTATATTTATAACTATAAACTTATAGTTTAAATAATTATATATTTATTATTATTGTGTAATGAACATTTAAATATTAGGATAGCTATGTCTAATAAATCGGGCATTTTATTTTGAAACGTTTATAAATCAAAAGCAGTTATAAGACAAAATAATTATTTAGTTTCAATAATAATAATCAACTAAAACTATATATTAAAATATTAATAAATATAGTTAAAAGACAAACATATTGAATTATTATTTTTTTACCCAAAAATGATAGGTAATAAATACATCATTTATCGGGATCGATAACATTTCAATAACATAATCACAAATACTAAAAGAATAACAATTTGAAAAACAAAATTTCTAAAACATTAACATATTTTTGAAATGACAATTTTTTAAAATACCATTTGAATTTCAAAATAGAATTAATATTAAAGACCTTTTAAAAACAACCCAAATATAACAAATCACAACAAATTAAAACCATCCAACGATGACAAATAAATCAAAAGAGGTTCAAAATTTACAATAATAATTGTCAGAACGTGATACACACAACGCAAATTATAACAAAATCAACTTTGCCATGAAACAAAACAAAGAAAACAATTATAATTTTTTTCACACCAAAAAATTAAAAACGTTCTTGAGTAAAAATAATTCAGTGTTTTTTATGATCATTTTTGTATAGATTTGAACTGTTTTGGTTGTTTTGATTGCAACAAACCGATTTGACCAATAAATGCTAAAACATCAATTTATATAGTTTGTTTTTTAATAAAATTTACTAACCTTAAAACTATGAATTTTATTAATAAATTCCAACACTTTTACTAAATTAGTTGTATTAAAAAATTATATTATTATAATTATAAACAATTAGAAAATAAACAAATACATTCAAATTGATTTAACTATTTGGTACACAGTTTAACAAAGTCTTTGGAAAATTTGTTTTGCCAGCCTAGCCTTGTTTTGTTTGATTCATACTAAATCTACATCCGTCTTTTAGGATCGATTTACCCTATTCCAATTAATGTTGTCTAGGAACCTTTTTCCTCTTCAGTCCTTAGATATTTTGTTCCTCTTCTAATTATTTGCTACTTCCACCAAGATCTGTACTCAAGTCTGTTTCAATAGAAATTACTTCTCTACCTTTATCACTCCTGTGTTCTTGACACCATGTATTTCCTTACTCCTCGTGTGCCTCAGCCTCCACAAGGATACAGCATCACTCTCTTTCATTTTATTACCTTCCTTTTTCAAGGCTTATCCATTCGATCTGTGAGTTGTTACACACTCCTTAGCGATTTCCAACTTCCATGGCCATCGTCCTATTGTCAATATGAATTAACACCTTTTATGGTTCTCCTCATGCAAGACTTGGATACTTTATCTGTATGTTCGGTTCATCCCGCATCGCCAATCCTGCTTACCAGACTTGGCCGATTTGAAGTCCGCATATGCTCACTCCTAATAAATGTTTATCGTTTAGGATATCTCGACTATTCATAGTTTGTTAAAATGTTGAAAAGTCAAGCTCTCCATTACATCCAATCATTATCTTTACCAATCGTCACTACTTTCTCACTTCAACCTTCCTAAGGGAATATTCAGGTGGAACCAGCTACTAGATAGTTCGATTAGTCTTTCGCCCCTATACTCATATATTGCAAGTAATTTGCACGTTAACACTCCTAAGTCCTTCCACCAAAGTTTCCTTCGGCTTCAAACACCACAAGCATAGTCACAATCTTTCGGGTCCCAACAGTTTAACTCCAGCCTTTTCTAGGTCACTCCTGCTATATGTTTAGTCCTTCGTTTTCGCTTTATATCTGGGCTTTCTTCCCTTCCTCTTTTCGTGGGGAAACTGAAAACGTTTCTCCACGAGGCATAATTATTTCAACTGTTAATTTTTGACAAATATTTTTTACAGACCATCTATTTATATTGTGTTTTTTCATTGTATTCTTGGTTTGTTTCATTTTATATTTATAAAATGGATTTTTTTCAATGTAAAATAAAATAAATATTTTGGTCAAAAAAATAAAAAGCAAATATTGTTTGGATTGTCTATCAAAATGAAAAACAATCTTCTCAGAAACACAAAGTTAATTAATAATATACAAAACAATAATTGTTTTTAACACTTAAAATAAACTCAGTTTTTAATATACAAATTTCATT